GTTGTCCGCACCCAGGTTGACCATAACCCTGTTGGCCGTATCCTCTACCTCTGCCACGTGACCCACGGCCGCGACTTTGAGCAAACTGGGCACCTCCACGCGATTCTTGGCCAGAACTAGCTGGGGCTAGAGCAGTAGGTTGTGTTGCTAACGCCGCAGATGAGGATGGAGTTTCTTGAGAACGAAGATAGATGAGGCACTACTCTTGCTCGAATAGTTTGGTCCGTAGTTTTTCAAAAGTAAGGCCCTCGGGAAAAGTAGTCAAAGTAGTGATAATGGACTCATAATCCGGACGGATTCCCAACAGACGTGGTGGAGCTCACCGAGGGGCGAGGGGTGTCGAGATCCGTTCTAGCAGACGAGCGACGGGCTTCAACTGGCAGTCTCGGGTGATGGACGAACGACGGCGAAGGGATCCAGTCCAACACGTGACGGACGAAGGTGGGTCTTGGTGTTGGAGAGGAAATCGGCATACGCGATGAGGGTCGGAACCGAGGTATCACGCCACACGGGACTTTTTTACGCAGACCTGCTTGGCGGTGTGGGATTTCACAAAGCCGAAATCAAAGGCGACCCTTTCATATCCGATCCATACACGAGAGAAAGCTACCAGCGTTTTCCAGAAGGGACAATCAGGGGGGCAGGATACTGAAGGTAAAAAACTGGAATGCTTTCAATTTTCTATTGAAAGTAAATTGTTCCGATTTGATATTGTTGATTTCAATTGCTTACGCATATCTGAGATGAAGCAGGGGTTTTTATCAACAATATATTTTGATCTTGAAAAGCTCAATTGGTTGAGAGATGCTTAGGTTAAAATTCTAATGGATAAATGAACTTGTCATAAACTCGTATTAGGAAATTCTTTAATTGTTCAAGTAGATTATAATTTTTTCGGGGGCTTTATTCAGATAATAGTGAAGAATTGCGACGCTCTTTTTGTTCCGGAGGGTCGAAAAGGACTAGGGATTGAGAGTTTTTTTATAGGGTTATCGACATCAATCAAAATGATGAGTGCATCTGAACAGCGGACAGAGCTACTTGCACGGGGAGAAATTATTTTTGATATGGCGGTGCAGTGTTGTAATTGGGTTGAGGATAATTCTTCTCAGAATGATTCCATTTCTGAGATGTTATTAAAAGATGATATTGAGGGTCTTATTTCTACAGAGAATCTAGACAATATGACTCAATTTTCTCTTTACCAGCCACTGCTTGATAAAGAAGAGGTTGGTAGAGGTCTTAAAACTTTAGATTCTATGAAAGAAGAGTTTGGGCTGTTTTTGTTGATGAAGTGATGAAACAAAATGAGGTTGATCAAGCAACCGTTGGAGACGAATCAAAAGAGGATTATCATAACTATCTTGCCAACATTAAAGCTAAATTTCAATTATTTCAAAAAGAGCTTGGTCACAAAGTGCAGCAAAAGGCTCTGGAAAAACAAATTAATTTGGTTCAACAATTTAACAAAGTGGCTCACATTCTATCAGAAGAAGAAGGCTTTACGGTTGTTGTTTCCCAAAAATCGAAAAGACGCAATGAATCAACACCTAGGACTATTGAGACCAAGCAGCAAGCGCGATTGCACAACACCAGACAGCATACTCAACAGCGAGCCCGACTCAACTACTCCAACACAGAATACTAATCATCTACATTTGTCTTTTCTGTTTCTTAATTTTCTTTCTACCTTCTTTAGCGTTTGTATTCTGCTTCTTTTATCAATAAAGATTTCTTTTTACGCAAGAAAAAAATCCGGACCAAGACCAAGAAGAGTTTGCTCAAAGAGATCTTTCATGGAGACAGGGGAATTAATTATGGCAAGGGAATCCGCTATTTTCTGGATTTCACGCATGTTTTGCTCCATTGATTGATTTTCTTTCTTTTTAGAGGTAGTTAACAAGCATTTTAATTCCATAGAACGAGACATACTGGCAGCCATAAAACGAGATTCTAGACGTTCCCAGATGGTAGCAGAAGTTCGTAGAGTGTGAACTTCAACAAGTATATCACGAGATAAATTAGCAAACAGCCAAGAACGGACTGTTTTGTCTAACTTTAACCAATAATAATACTCATTATTCACAACTTCTCTACGTAAAACATCAAAAATATATTGAGAAGGGGTAGCAATGGTACCATCTAGAATCCCAAGGAGGCCATGAGACACCAGAAAAGACTCCCAGGGCAGATAATCTTCGACTGCATCAAGCTTCGTAGTAACAATATTGGTGACATTCGGTGTCGAAAACCCCATAGACTGCGCAATTGCCTCCAAAGAACCCGGTTGGGTTGTTGCCAACCTGCCTAACGGCCGAAAAGTAGGCGGCGGAGCCAACCCTTGTATACCAATGAACGTAGGGCCCCCAAATTGAGACTACTGTACCGGCGGTACCTCAGACGCCGAACGAAGAGGGCGTCGTGCCATGACTGGAGAGGACCAATCAAACGTCGGTGGAATCCAAGCGGACTCATCAATATCCGAGTGACTCAATGGAAACGGTGCTGAAAACGAGGGAGGCAACATAGTTGAGGTGGAGCCGAACGTCAAAGAAGTCGAAGCTGATGTCGGAGAGTACGTGGATGGCATAGTTACGGCAGAAGGTGCAGCCATGAAGACGGGCGCTGCCATGCCATGAGCCGCTACCGTCGTGAGCGGCGCGCTAGGGTGATCGGCTGTGGCGGAAGTCGACGCCATAAGGGGGAAAAATAGGGTATAATTAAGGCTCTGATACCATGTGAGAATAATAAACAGGTTTAACCAGACTGGTAGCCCTGAGAGTCTATTAATAGAGAAATAAATTGCCTAATACAATTAGAATGCTAACTAATAATTAATTCTAATTATTCTACACTATTATAAAATAATTCTTTTTGACCATAATGCATCATCCCGTTTTGATAGTGAAAAATGACACAAATAATATTTCTTGTGAACATGAATAGAACATGTAGTCATGTAGAATAATCAAATGACTAAATTTAACTTAATTATGGAGATGATTATTTTTATCAACACTCAGAATTATCGAAACTACCAAGTTTTAAACATAAATATTAGCAAATGGTAGAAGAAACAAAACAATAGAAACATTTATGTATTTATAACTAAAATAATATTTGTTTCCCAAATACGTAGTACGCAGTACAAGTTATTAGAGAAGTTCTTTAAAAAACGGTTATTATAGAAGTAACTTTAGATTTTCGTGGTCACTTTAGTTATAATTTTATAATGATGTCATATTCGTAATAAGTTCACTCATAGTTAATAAAAAAAATAATTATGCAGGTATTTTTAAGACAGTCAAAATATTAACAGAGAAAAATAAAAGTAAAGTAGGCAAGACACCCCATCCCACACGGCCACAATAACTACACCGTATTTGTGTAACAAAACCAAACCATACAAAATCCAACTGCACTGTATGATCGCAATTTGGTTTGAATTTGATAGTATTTCAGTATTTCTTCCAAATTGTATCAAACTGAATCGAATCAAACACCCATAAAAACCAAAAAAACCAGAAGAAACTAAAGAAATTCAAAAAACTTTCATACAGAGTACATTATTAAAGAAAAAGATAAACCAAACCCAACCAAACCTAAAAATAATACTATCTTCGCTCCATTCGACTTTGCTTAAAAACCTACTAAATAAACTGTTACTTTCTCATTAAAGTAACTAGTTTGTAATTATGTTCATTTTCCCTCCTCTACACAAATTTCAACCACATAATTTTTAATATTTTTATTTCTCATCTAATTCAAAGAGTGCAATTTCAATTGAGACGAGAATAGTATGATTTTTGTTTGGTAATATTTCTTTCGATCCATCGCAAACCGAATCGGAACCGATAAAATTAAACTGAAATCCAATATGTCCATTCCTACTTGTGTGGTGAAGGATAATACTAAAATCAATTCCAATTAAAAACATATACTCGTCCTACATTCACTGAGTTCACAAAATTCAACAATATGCTAAATTGCTAACTCCTCAGCCGTGATCATAACGCGTAACACATACCCGCATGGGTAGCTCAATTGGTCGAGTGGTGGGAGATTTGGATCAATGGACCAAGGTTCGAATCCCCGCAGCGACCGGGTGGATGTCACAGAACCTAAAATAAGGTTGGGTCTCTGGTGCGCACGGTGTATGGGCCTACTGTCATTCTGCTGACTGAGTCACCGTGAATAACATGGGCGGACCGTAAAAGACACCCAGGGGGGCTACCGCCCCCCCAACAATTTTTTTTAGTGTATATATATACGAAAAATAATTTTTGCTCTTCCAAAAAGTATTTTGAACCCCCCCAAAAATATTTTCGCCCCCCCAAAATGACTTTCCTGGGTCCGCCCCTAGTGACTAACCTCCCCACCATCCTGTCGTAGGAGTGGACTCGGGCCAGGCCAACCGGCCCGGAACCGGACCGGTCCGCTACTGTGCGGGTCCGAACCAGCCCGGTGAACCGGTTGGTTGCCCAGTTCAGGCCACCCGGCCCGGTGGGATGGCGGTTCGGGTTCGAGCCCTTCAAAAGGTGAACCGGCCCAGCCGGTTCAGGCCCGAGCCGGGCCATTTTTTTTTTTTTTTGAATTTTTTTAAGTTTTTGGTTGGGCTGGGTGTTTTGGGCCATTTGAGGTGTTAGGGTTGGTTTGGGGCTGAGGGGGAGGGTTGGGGGTTAACTAGGAAAAGCCAAAAAAAAAAATTAGAACAGAGGCCCGGCCCGGGGGTTACCCGGGCCGGTTCCGAGCCTCCCCTTCATGAACCGAGACCCGGCCGGGCCCAAGCCCGAACCGGACCCGAACCAGTCCACCCCTATCATGTCGGGTCGGAGTGGGGGCTCCTGGGGTGGGAGATTCCACCTTTTGGATCAATAATGTGTAACACATACTGCATTTTGATTTTCAAACACTTCAGATACCCCATTTAATCTCTCTCCTACACATACAAATTTGCTTTGCTTTTTTAAGAACAATCATTTAACCTTCAAATTTTCACAAGACAGTAGTACTTTTCAAGAAACCATAATTACACAAAAATAGGGATTAAAATGGCCAGCAAATCTTATTACAATAATAATCACAGTGTTTCTTATTCTGGGGAGGGCAGGGGTGGAATCTGCAATTCTGCATAACATTCATCCTCCTTCCTCTGCAGATTTGCAATCCCCCCAGCCATAACAAAAACAACCCCTGTTCTAAATCTCAATATCCAAAAGCCCCCATTTATTTCACAACCCAAAACTATCATAATAGTAGTATAATTTATTTCCTCCACCCTGCCTGCCTACTTCCAATATCAATCATTTTCTAGAAAATGAAACAAACACTTTCTTCTACCATAGCATTAAACTTGGACCTACTACTAGTCATAATTTCTAATACCATAAAAGCACAATCAAGTCAATAGGTCCATTCTGGAGGAAGTCTCAATTCTGGGCTGATGGCTACTTCTGGTGTGCTCAAACTCCTCATCCTCTTTGCCACAATTTCTGCATTCTTCCTTGCTATCAGCAAGTCTGCAATAACATTTCCCTGATATATTAGAACCACACTCAATTTGAAAAAATAAGTAGCCCTAATAATATTATTGAAAACTTAATACACATTGTGAACTGAAATACTGAATCACAATGGTTTAGAGTCCATTAAAGGCCTCATTTGGTAGCATACTATAAATCAGCATGAGATAGTTGTTGGGTAAAATGAGATTTTACTAAAAATCTAGGGATTCAGATTCTTGTAGTTTTACCAAATTGTAAGAATGCAGGAAGGCAATGATTAATTACCATGTTCCAGCAAAGTTGTAAGATCACTAAAGAACATAACTGCCATAGATAGGTAATATGAAAATACAAGAACAAAAGATTAAATTGTGTTTTAGAATTATTGTGACAATCTTGTATTACACAATACCATATAGGAAAATGAGATAATACTCGGGTAATTTGATGGTCTTTGATTATCATACTTTAGTAACGTATGAAAACCTTGATAAATTTCTGCTAATGGTGAATACAAATGTGTTCTTGCAGTTTTTCATATCTCAACATTATGCATTGAGTAATTCCATATTCCTTCAAACAAACATTCCAACCCAGCTGCTTGTGAGATTATCGTGCTTAGTGGGAGGTCTCGAGTTCGAAACTCGCAAGGCACATAAGGGTTTAAAACTCAATGGAGTGAATTTCAATCATGATTACTCCAGGTCCTCCGGCCTCCTCCACAGACCGGACTAAAAAAAGAAAAAAAAAACCATATTTCTTCAATTTCACAATAACTTTTTAAGAGAGCTACATTCCGCTAACAAAAGACTCATTATGGTACCTTTGGTGAGCTCAAATAGACCAATTAGCCTGAAACCTTTGTGAGGAAGCTCAGAACACTATGATTCACAACTTACACTACCCATGCAATTTACAGACTCAATTTGGTTCAATTCAAACAAACAAATCATCACTTTTTAGCTAAAACAGATCACCTCATTTTTTATCCAACCAGCAAAGTCCAACTCTATTAATAAATAAAATCAAAAGTCCATTCAGTCTTTTCTGTCATTTCACCACCCCAGAGGCACTCAATCTGTTTATTTTAACAATATAAATACTTAGCGGTAATACATACGGAGTATAAAATTATTACCAATTAATTAGAAAAAAAAATCACATTCGAATGAAAATCCACAGTTCAAGGAATGATTCGGAATTTCAGATTCTTAGGTTCGGATTCAAGGAATTTCAAAGATTCGGGTGAAGGATAAATCTCGGAAAATTACTCTAATGCGGAGTAATTTTTGTAAAAGTAAATTTTTTGAGTTAGTTACCGTAGTCTGAGATGGGTATACTGCTAGAAGAAGACCGCAACTGAGGTCGAGAAATGCCATTGTACCCTTCAACCAAGCTCTTCTTCACACCATTATCAACTTTAGCTGAAAATAAATTAAAAATTAAAAACTACATTAAAATCCCATTAATTGATTACATAACCAATTATTTATTCAATTAACTAATTTATTAATTAATCCATTTTGTGTGCTGAAAATATATCCGTAAAATCCGTCCATATTCATACGATATCGGCGGCGATAGCACGATTCACTGTTCCGCAGCCTACGATTGGATTAGGTGAACCTAGGCGCAGACTATACGTCTGACACGTTCTAAATACGGAGTATTATTAATAATTTAATATTAATCAAAAACGATGAAACAGTAATCACCACATTAAGCGTGCATTAAAGATAATTAGTGGCATAATAACAACTTGGATTGCAATTAAAGGAAAGGACACGATTATCCAAATTATTGATTAAACATCATTTTGCTGCCAGCACAAAACCAGAGATAAAACTTGCACGAGAATAAGGCCTGGGCGTACACTTGTCCAGTCACATGGGGACGGAGAAAACGGCAACGAAAAGGGCAAATTTGGAAAGACGTGAGAAAAATATCTTTCCCAACCCCTCACCCAAAGAAAGCCCGGTCAAACTTTGTTTTACTATACTGGTAATCCCACCATTGCCGAACAGAGTATATATGCAGATTTCTGAAAAGCGAGTTATGGAACAGAAACTCGGCCTCAAATCGTTGAGTTAAGTAAAGGTAATGATTCACATGACACGACAGAATTACTAAAACAAGAAATGAATCAGAGCAATAATAAGTTGGAGATGTAAGAAATCCCAAAGAGAATCAGTTCATAAAGAAGAAATTACCAGCGATTTTCCGAGGATCAGCGGGAAGTTTGGCGTTAGTATTCGCGTCATATCTTCTCGGAATGAAGACGCCGGTGCCGGCGCACTCTCGTTTGAAACCGACCACAGATCGGCTGGCAAACGCCGTACCCGTACCGGACCCGCCGAACTGGGTTTGCTGCTGTGGGGGCAGAGAATGCCATGCAGCTGTCTGTGCAGGCACTGCTGTGGCGCACTTTCTGTTTTCCACGACCGGGCCAGACCCGAACCCGAACCGTACGCCTCGATTTTGGGGTAGCTGTCTTCCGCCTAGAAAACCGTCGTTTACCTTCTGGGCCCACATTTGAGGGCACTGGGGCTGCATCATTCCGAACCCTCTGATTTGATGGAACTATACGGGGGAAAAGGTAACAGAGGATTAGACACGAGGGAAAGACAAAAGAAGGAAAACAGCAATGAGATAAGACTTACCGGGTTAACGTGAGCACCGGAGATGTGAGAGTGATCCGGAAACGAGCGGTTATTACTGAAATAGCTCTCTCCGGCGGTCGATTTCACCCTGTTTAACTGAGCGGCTTCCCGGAAAAGCAGATCCCATGGGTCATTTTCAACACTCGCGGGTATAGCAGTCGGAGAGGAAACCTGGGAAGGTCCATTTGGGCTACTATTGCTTGACCCAGTGCTCCGACCCGTCCAGTTACCAACTTGCGCCAGAGTAGACTGTGGAGACCCTGATAGCACCCAGCTCTTCTGTCCATGAAAAAAACACAGAACTCTGTTGAAAACAACGAATATTTGATCTTTTGAAATGGAAAGCAAAAATAACAGAGATTGACCGTACCTCCAAGGGGTTCCGAGCATGCACTGACTTGTTAGCTTCCTCAATGGAGGCCCGTCTTAACAGACTAGTTAAACGGCTGAGAAACTCGTCCTCGTCGCTCTCGTTGTCGAAGGAACTCAGGGAAGAGTCGAGGGAGCAGAAGCTCCGTCCATGGGAATACTCAGAAGAAAAGACCGGGTTCGGGCGGGGAACAGTCCTGTCAACGGGGTTTTCAAAAAAATACGGGTCCATCAGTATGTCATCCTCGGTGAGAAACTCCGGCCGCAGCCGGAACTCTGTTCGCTTGTCGGCCATCGTCGGAGAAATATTTGAAAAAACAGAGGATATGATGCAAGTATGAAGGGATTGCTGGTTGGAGAAGAAATGTATGTGTGTGGGTTAAAAAGGAAAAGAGATGGAAAATTTAAATTAAAACAAAAAAGTAAGTAGCGTAGTGGGGCCCGAAGAAAGGGAGAGAGAAAATAGGGGTCGCGCCGTGTGTGTGTGTGGGGACAGGGAGTGGGGAAGTGGAAGGAATGTTGAGTCGGACAATGAGCGCTTTTAATGACCTTCATTACTTCTCTATAAATTAAACGGTTTTTCCACCATGTGTAAGTTTACGAGGGTAAGGGCGCGTTTGGTAGCACTTTCAAATGTGACAAGTGTTTAGTTAACATTTGGGGTTGTGTGTTTAATTAATAATTGGAGGTGTGTGTTTAATTAATATTTGAGTGTTTCGTAATTGTCTGATACTCATTCCGTCCCTCAAACAAGTTTCTCATTTGACTTCACAATTTTTTAGATAGGATTAAATTAATGGTTGACTTTCCAAAATTACCATTGATAGGATGTTGTCCGCCGAAATGTGTAAAACAATTAAAAGAGGATTATGAATAGTAACCAACGGTAACTCTTATCTATTCAATTTCAAATAACATCATTTCCAATCACATCAACTTGTCATTACAACAATTATCACTTCCAAGCCTCTCGGTTTACACCACACAAAGAGCAACCCAAAAAATTAAATTTCCCTCCTTACTTGACTATTCTACCAGTTTTTATACATTCCCTCCATTTTTCAAATATAAAAACTCTATCTATACATAGAAAACATTAATGTGGTGCCTTTACTCCTATCTACTTCTCCCATTTTTCTGGTCGGCTACCACCACATGGAAGCTGCTGCAAATATAACTCCAAACTGTTGCAGTTTGAATCTCAATCTGCCACCCCCAAGTGATCTCCCTCTGGCAGCAGTTTCTGAAATAGTGCAACCTGCAGCAGTGGAAAGTCATAATGAGGAAGAAGGAGAGGGTGCAACAATGAACAGAAAATGGCCAAAACTAAATGATTTTCAAAGAAGAAGAATCGCCGAAATAATGTTAACAAATTATGTGGATGGGAAACTTCAGAGGGGCTCATTGATTAACACAGCTAGGGAATTTAATGTTTCCACCAAGACGGTGCGAAAACTGTGGAACAAGGCAAGACAACAACTGGCAGCTGGAGTTCCAATTAATGTTCACAGCATACAAAGGACATGTGGGCGGAAAAGCAATCCAATATAATTTGCAAAAAAAATTAGAGATTCCATTTCACCACATGAAAAAAATGAGAGCTTTAGCCTTTGTCATGGAAGTGTCGAAGTCAACAGTTCACATATGTTTAAAGGGGAAACAGATTAAAAGGCACTCAAATGCAATAAAACCTCTTTTGACGGATGGAGGAAAGGTTAAAAGGTTAGAATTTTGCTTGAGTTTCATAATTCCAGTCTCATTACCATTGACCCACACATTTCATGATTATTATGACCAGATACACATTGATGAGAAGTGATTCTATTTGTCAAAAGAAAATCCACCTTCTACACCCTACCCACAGAACAGGATCCCTACAGGGCTGCCCAATCAAAAAAATTATAGCAAAGATAATGTTCTTAGCTGCAATGGGCAGACCTAGACTGGGGGAAGATGAGGAGGTTTTATGGGATGGAAAGATTGGGATCTTTACATACAGTTATGAAGATACAGCCAAAAGAACAAGTAAAAACAGACCAGCCGGGACATTAGAGACTAAGGTACCACTGAGTGTGACAAGGCCAATCATAAAGGACATGATATTCAACTTGGTTTTACTAGCAATGAAAGAAAAATAGCCTGATGCAAGTAATAGAAGTATAATTATTCAACAAGATAATGCAAGGCCTCGCATTTACATAAATGATCCTGATTTTGTGACCTATGCAACACAAGATGGTTGAAATATTCAACTGAGGTATCAACCACCTAATAGTCCTAATCTAAATGTCTTAGATTTGGTTTTTTTAGAGCAATAGACTCCATCAAAAAACTGAAAGCCCCCAGTAGCATAATGGGGTTAATAAATGCAGTGAATACACCATTTGAGGAGCTCGCACGTACAACAATGAACAAGGTGTTTGTAAGCTACCAATATGTCATGGAGGAAGTCCTTAGAGATAATGGTGGAAACAATTTCAAATTGAGGCATGTAGGGAAGGACAAATTGCAAAGGTTGGGATTATTACCTAAGAATGTGCAAATTACTCCTGAACTGTATCAGATAGCTAAAGCAAGTATTGATGCACATCTGGCAACTACCACACCAAACAATGCAAGTCAACAAAATGAGTTCATAGCCTCATAGGTGAAGATGCATGACATCTTCACAAATGAACTTTTCAAAATGTAGTTAACACAAAGGCTTCTTTTTTAATGTTGCACTAATATATACTTCATCACACACCTTAATTTTGTGAGCATAATTGTATTTTTGTTAGTAGACTATGATAGGTGTGTAAAGTACATTTTTTGTATGAAAATGTACAAGACAGACAGGACAATGGTTAGGTCCCGCCCATCCTACAGTAATTTGCCCAACATGTAAATGTAATGAAATGGGACTTAATTCAGGAACTGCCCAAAAGTTGCATGCCATTGTCACACAGTTTAAAATCATTCACATGTCATACACATTTCATATCAATGAAGCCCCATTTCATCATAAGCCCCATGCCGACAAGCATTGTATCTATTCAACATGTTCTTCATAAATTTTCATAGTATTTGTTCTAGATTCACAACCACAGAGTATAGTATCTATTCAACACATTCAGAAGTTCCAATTAATGAAACAAAGCATAGTATATGTTCAACACAATCATAAGTTCCAATTAATGAAACAAAGCATAGTATCTGTTCAACACAATCATAAGTTCCATTAATGAAAGTGATGAAGTATATTCCCATATAACCCAAGGGTATCAGAATCGCCATCATAAGCATCATGGATCCATTCGGAGTGCACAAGAATGCTAAGTACACAACTGGACCGACCCTGACCCCGACCCATCAAGGTCGAGATGAAGTGCTAGGCAGCAAAACAACTAAGGGCCGAAGGACCAGCCGACCCCGACCTCGAACCCCGAGGTCGGGAATATACCAAGCTCAGGAACAGCTCAAACTCGACAAGTTATGAACCTGACCTCGAAAGCACCGAGCTGGGCACCGACTCCGACCTCAGGCGCCAACGCGGAGCCAATCGGAATCAAGTAAAGGAGTCAATGACCTCAAAGACAGACTAAAGACAGAAGGCGCATTTCCCAGCGGTGAGCCCGAGTATCCGGATACTGACCTCAAGGAACTCAGGGTCTGACCAAGCCCTTATGGACTTAGATAAAATACACAAAGACAAACATTACAGAAATATGCTGCCACGTCATTCCCAGCAGCAGTGGTTCCAATCAGCCAGATGTTCCATATTATCTCTCCAATCACCTTTACATGTGGCTGCTCCTCATCAACTTAGACTGTTAGTTTGTTAGAAACAGATTGGACACACGTCCTTCTCCTATTAGTCTAGCATCTTTTTACTTGGGCAACAAGCATTGCCTTTTTATAAATATCACCTTCCAACCTGTGGAAAGCGATCACACTCTGTATTCTCTAGCTGTTACTCTGTAGAAATATCTACTTGAACTTTCCAATCAGCTCTTCTCTCTTATTTACTCGGATTCCGGCTACCCCCAATCCGGTAATCCATTAGAAAGAAAGCATATTATCTGTTCAACACAATCATAAGTTCCATTAATGAAACAAAGCATAGTATCTGTTCAACACAATCATAAATTATCATTTGTTCAAGACATGCACGAATTAGGTTCACAAGCACAAACACAAACTCCATTTCAGAAATTAGGGTAAACGTAGTTAATGCCCTTTCGCGCATGCATCCGAATCCACACCAGCTTCCCCGCCTGCTTCATCGTCTGAAAAGGGGCTCCACATGCTGCCTTCCTCATCTTTCGACCCCACACCACCCTCCTCAGCTGCTTTACCACCATCCGTCCAAGCCGATGTCACCTCTTCTCTGTTTGAATCGACGAGGCCTTCTAAGTCATCAAACATATCTGAAACAAGGTTATCACCGTATTTTTCCGGATGGCCCAATTCGGATCTGTTTCGGTATCACTGGAGTACCAAAACCGTACAAAAACAGGCATCTGAAATGGAACTAGACTCAAATCGGACCTCACATGTGAGATAAGGTGTGGTTTTGGTTTCAGATCTAATGGGGGAGGCAGTTTTGGATCCATGCATGGGAAGCAACGGTGGCTAGAGGGTTTTCACATATGGGGAAGGATGAAGGGTTTTCAGACTTGGGGTAATGACGTGCACTTGTCGTGAAGTGCACTCAAAATAATTTATCAATACAACACTAATACATAGTATAGTGAAGTAAGGTTCGTATCCACAGGGAAAGGAATACTTTTCTTTTATATAAATAGTAACAAGGGGGGTTTTAAGTTTGATTTGATTGAATTTAATTAACACATAAGATAAACAACTTATATGAGTTTAATTTATAGAGATGAGGACTTGGTTTTGCTTTTATCCACTTAATGAAATGTTCGTCGATCCCGGTTATATCTTTAACTATTTTCCTCTCGAATACTCAATCGAGGAGTATATCCAGTTCATCGAGGGTAGTTATTAATAACGAGACGCGTTCATCAATAAAACTTACTACCGAGTTAATAAAGAACACGCGTCGTATATTAGCCCGATAGTAGCAATAAACTTAAGATGAAAACGATTGAGATTGATAACCTCAACACAAGCGGTTTATTAGTTTAATCAATATAATTAATTCCTCTTAGATTATTAACCATGAGACGCATGCATTAATAATCCAAGTTTTACTACCGTTGAAAGAACCGAATTAATAACAAGCGTATTAATCGATTGATTCTAGTAATAATTAATATATGAAACAAAACTAGTTGATCCTTTAAGTAATGCTCAAAATATTAATATGGAATATGAATAGGAAATAATTAATATTCAAGGAAGAAGATTAAATAAAATAACTCACAACTT